AGATAGCTTCTTTTTAAACTTAAGGTCCCATGCCCAGGAGTAGTTGGCCAAAACAAAACAGACTCCAATAGTGTGTATGTTTTTCCGTGTGTGTGTGTGTGTGTGTGTGTGTGTGTGTGTGTATGATTTTTGTTTTACTCTTGATATTTTACATCTTACTGATTTTCCTTTAAAGAGAAAAAGGATGAAGTTGTGTGGGTATGGAGGCTAAGGGGATCTAGGGGGAGTTGATGGCTCTGGGGATGGAGCAAATGGAAGAGTTGCATCTATTAGAACAAGCTAGCCAAAGAGAGCATGGGTAGAAGGCTTGATAGTCCAGAGCTCCTTGTGCTTTACATGTGGAAGATACACACTGTTCAATATATTTCCTTTACCCAAGAAAAGACCTAATCCCCGAAAAAAAGTCTTCCATGTATTAGAAAACATTTATCTACATTATATGTATTTAAAGTATTGTTATCTGCAACAAGTCAAACTGTTCCTATTCATAAATATTTTGTCATTACTCATTTGTTTCTAAAACTGAGTGTATTAAGACAACATTGCTGAAGAAATTTTCAATGATCTTTTAATTTTTATTTTATTTTTTTCATATACTATATTTTGAACATTTTCTTTCCCCCTCCCTTTACTCTTCCCAATCCTCCCTATCTCCTTAATAACCTAACTTCATATTCTTTCTAACTCGTAAACACACACACACAAAATTAAAATCAAAAACAAAAACAAAAAAATGTAAGACAAAAAAATACCAAAATGAGCAACAACAACAACAAAAAACCACAAAATAAAAACTGTGAAGTCTGATTGTGTTAGCCAATTACTCCTGGAGTGTGGTTGATCTACCCAGGAACAATCCATTGGAGAAAATGGATTTCCTTTTTGCCAGTAGGTAACTGTTGCAAGTGTGTGTATGTGTGTGTGTCTGTTTGTGTCTGTGTGTATATGTGTGTAAAATTATAGATAACTATAAAGTAATATGATTCCTTAAGGTGTTATTAAACAACATTAGTGTTATTTGCCCCTTGTTCCTCCTTTTTTTCCTACACTGACCTCTCTCCCTCTTCCCCAGTTGGAGTCCCCCTCACAGCTTGTCCACTTCCACAGCCTGTATCCTGTTAGTCTCCTCTCTAGCTATACCTGCCGTCAGTACTCCCTTTCACTCTCTTAGTTTCTGGGGCTACTTCATGTCATATTCACGTCTGAATATTTGGAGCTAGGAACCACAGATGAGAGAGAACATGTGACGTTTGTCTTTCTGGGTTCAGGTGACCTCATTCAATGCAATCCTTTCCCAATCCATTAATTATTTGTAAATTTCATATCTCTTTACAGCTAAGTGGTACTCCATTATGTATAGATATATTTTCATTATCCATATGTTAAAGGACATTTAGGTTGTTTCTAATCTCCTTGCTTGCTACTGTAAATAGAGCAGCTATGACCCCTGTTGAGCAAGCACCTATAGAGTATGATGTTGAGTCCTTTGGGTGTATGCCAAGCAGTGACATGGCTGGAACATATGCTAGATTTATTCTTTGTTTATTATTATTATTATTATTCATACTGGTTTCTAGAGTGTCTAACTATTAGCTTTCCCACCAGCACTGAGTGAGAATTCCTGTTTCATTGTCAGTTATCCTTAGCAATTTTGATCAAAGTCATAGGAAAGTCTAAAGTTACCTTTTATTATTTTTTAATATTTTCTAATTGATAAGGATTGAGAATATTTTTGAAGCATTTCTTACTCATTTTTGTTTCTTTTCTTAAGAATTTTCTGTTAAGCTTCCTAGCCCATTTTTTAATTGGGTCATTTGTTTCTTTGGCACTGTTTTTATATTCTTGATATTAATCTTTTGTCAGATGTCTAGATGGAAAAGATTTTCTCCCATGCTGAAGATTTATTCCTCACTTGATTGATTATACACTTAACTGTACAGAAATGTTTAGTTTTATGAAGTTCCAGTTGCCAATTGTTGGCCTTAATTCCCGGGCAAGTGAAGTCCTTTTTTATTACATTCTGTAGTATAATGCATAGGCATTCATCTAGTAGATTTAGTGTTTCAGGTTTCAAATTAAGGTCTTTGATCTACTTGGCTCTAATGTGTTTACAGGGTGGTATATCCTAGCCAAATTCCATTCTTCTCCATGTAGACACCCAGATTTCTTAGCAGCCTAGGTTAAAGATGCTGTCTTTTCTCTTGTGCATGGTTTCTGCCTCCTTCTAAAACATCAGATGGCTGTAACTATGACTGTTTGTGTCTGGGTCTTCTATCTTATTCCACTAATTTACATGTCTGTCCTGTGTCATCGCCTCATTGTTCTTATGGCTCTCTAATGTAACCTAAGTTTGGAATAGCCATCCTCCACTCAACTAGCTCAGGATTGCTTAGACTATCCAGGGTCTTTTCTGATTGTGTAAGAATTTCAGTATTTTTATTCCATTTGCATTAAGAATGCTGTGGGTATTTTGTCTGGGACTGTATAGACTCTATAAATGACTTTTGGAAAGATGGTCATTTACACATTATCAGTTCTACTAATCAATGGACATGGGATGTCTTTCCACTTTCTAGCGTCTTTCTCAACCTCTTATTTTAGAGATTTGAAGTTTTCATTATAGATGTCATTCATTCCTTGGTTAGATCTATTACACAATACTTGTCTTATAAATTAAAAATAGAGTGTGTCTGCAATGTGTCTCTCTCTCCTTCCCCCCCCTCCCTGTGTGTGTGTGTCTGTCTGCTTATTAATATACAGAAAGGCTACTGACTTTTGCAAGTTAATTTTGTTCGCTATTCCTTTGCTGAAATTGCTATTATTTCTAGAAGTTCTCCAATGGAATTTTGGGGATCTCTTGTGTGCAGTATTATATTACCCACCAATAGGGATAATTTAGCTTATTTTCCTATTTATATCCCTTAAATTTCTTTTCTTGACTTATTACTCTCGCTACTGTTTCCAGAACTACACTGAAAAGGAAAAAGCATGAGGATGGTGGTAAGATCTGTCTTGTTTATGACTTTATAGAATTGCATCAACTTTTTCTCCATTTTGGAGAAATGTTGGGTGTGAGTTTGTTATATATGTATAGCCTTAATTATGTTGAGGAATTACTTCGTTTATTTAAGTTGATTGTATGTCCATTGTCTGATAATCCACTTTCAACTGAAGCACGGAAAAAAAGTGATTGATTCCTCCACCTTGGTGATGTAACCTGTGTTTATGAAGTGTTAACACTAGTGACCTTCTTGGGTCTGAGAGAGTTAATTTGTGAACTGGATTCACACCCTGGGCCTCCTGCTACATGACACTCCAGACTCCTTTGGCCACTTTTCCTGCTTGTGAGAGCTCATCCACTTTTGCATTCACATGGTTGTTGTGGTTAAAAACCTCTTTCTCAAAACCTTTTCAAATAGTACTTTTCTACCATTTGCATCTTACATGAAACATCACTTCACCTCTTCAGCAGGGTTTTGCTTGATTTCTCATTCTTTTCCAACCCAGACAAAGAAGTTTCCAGAGAAGATACAATGCTCTGAATAAGTCCAAGAAAGACATGAAGCCTAAGCCATCACACATACTGTTAATTTATTTGGCCAGTGTAATGACTGTTAATAAACTTCAGATATCAATACAAAGTAAGGTTTGGGGGACTTTTATAATTTGACCTCAAAGATTCTTCTGTAACAGAATCACAATTCATATTATTTTTGTGAGAAGAACATTTAGTTTCATTTGAATTCTTTGCAAAGCAATACCCAGAGTAATAAATTTCAATAGAAATATAAATATGAAACTACCTGCAAAGGAATTGAGCATCATGCCTAGGACACAGTAGATGCTCAGCAGTGCTTGCTGACTGGCCCCGCTCACAGTGTATTTGAAAAGAACAAGTGAACAACTGTGGTCTCTGACAGATCCGAGGTGACACAAAGCAGTATTGTACTGAGAACTTAAAAACACAGAAAAGAGGTGCACTCCCAGAATTTCTATCCTTCTCTAGTGACACTTGGAGTCCCTTCTCTCCTTTACATTAGGGGTACCTTTATTAAATACAGTGATTTATGAAACTGTGGTGAGCCTTGTCAGGTGGGATGGTGGTTCCCTTTCTTACAGGAAGTTCCCCAACTCAGTTCCAATCAATGCAGTTCCTGGAAGTCCAGTTTCTACTACAGACTCTCTCCCTAATGGGTCCAGCCACACTGTCCCTCCCAAGAATTTATAATTCTCATCTATAAAACACAAAACCTGAGAATTCTGAAGCAGTGGTGCTGTAAGTATCTGATTCGGCAACCACCAGTTACAAGTGTCTATTTAAAATTAAATTTAAAGTTCAGTTAGTTAAAATGGAAAATGCAGTTCATCAGTTACATCAGGGATTTTGCAAGGAATCAATGTTTTACAACATTTCCATCACTGTAGAAGATTCAAATAGAAAGAGATGGTTTGAAGAAAGTGTCGAAACTGCAACCTCTGTACCAAACAAACCCACTGTTTTGTATAATCCCTTAGAATACTTCAATGATCATAAAAGAAGAATTTTGTGGCACATGAAATTCAAATTTGGGGTGCCAAAGGGCATGTTTAAGGAACACAGCCCAATCCTTCATTTGCATGTGGCTGATGGATGTTCTCAATGCTACCACATGAAGTTGAATATTTTTTGACTGGAAACATGGGGTCAGAAAAGTTTAAAATATCTACTATCTGGTCTTTTATAAAATAAAATTATCTTTACCTCTACTGTTAGGAGGCCTTAAGGTTTTCAAAGCTGTCTTGCCTGGAATCTGGGAGCTTGAGAAGAGACCAGATAACACAGTGAGGTGCCAGGTGTCACTGGGTTTGCAGAATGATCTCCCCTTTCTGTGCTGCAGGTTTGGAAACTGAAGAATCTCTACTTAAAGTATTAGTGTGAGGTGGAGTGGGCATTAAGAAAGTAGATTCTTCCACAGTCCAAACCAGAACGTGCTGGAGCACCATGTGATACCATCCCCGCCATGGTTGTGGAGCCCGGGTTACCACTGCCTAAACAGTGCGGTAAGTAAACAGAATCCCTGGCTGTCTCCAGGCTAACGAGGTCACTCTGGTGAGAGTCCGTTAGCACTCCCTTAATGAGCATGGCAGCAGCATCCCTGCTGCAACAATAGTCATTTGACACATGAGCAGATGACATAATTAAACCCCAAAACCAGGTGTAAGTGAAACTGGCGTAGAAGGCTTGCCATAGCATCCCCAGGGAACTGTGAACATCTCATGCAGGAGAGAGACACAATGCTTGAACATGAGCAGTCCTGGAAAGAATGCATTTTATAAGAGTAATTGTCACAAGTCAAGGTGGGTCCAAGGTCATCCATCCTGCCAGACATACACTTTACTAAGAGTTATCATAAACTGGCAGAAAAAAAAAAGAATCCCAGGAGAAGGACACAAAGATCAAGATGGCATTCCTAGAACATATGCGGAGAGGAAATCATCTGTGAGCACAGCAGAGAGAGGCCAGGCATCACAGGAACTGTGGGTCACTTGTTATGACAAGCAATTCTCAGTTCAGAACGTTCATAAGAAGACTGCAGAGAGTGTTCTCTCCATTAACGAGTCTAACAAATCACATCTCGCTCTCTCAATAGGTGCTGGGCAGTCAGAATGCCTCCAGGGCTAATACAATGATTACAGAACTCTGGATGTAGCATTAGCATGACATCAGATAATCTCAGAGTGACATCTCTCCCACACACCAGGTTTATTCCACTGCAAAAACTGCTTTTCAGGGAGACGGCTCGCTGAGTAAAAGCTGTAGGCACGCAAGCCTAATGATTTGAGTTAGGCCCCAAAACGCAAGTAAAAAGCCATATGCATTAGCACATGTGTATAATCCCATGACTCCTGAGATGGGAGGTTATTGGAAATATTATTTTAAGGTGTGTGATTTTTATTTGTGTTTTACTTGTTTAACTCTGTGAAGCTGTGATGCCTGTCTTGAACACCTGATGAGCTAAAGATATGAATGGCCAAAGTGAGGTAGGAGAAAAAATAGGTGGCGCTGGCAGGCAGAGAGAATAGATAGAAGGAGAAAACTGGGAGAAGGGGTTCAGAATAGAAGCCTGAAAAGGAGGAGGACATCAGAGGTCAGCCACCCAGCTACACAGCAATACACGGAGTAAAAGTTAAAGAAGTAAGAGAATGGGAAAAACACAGAGGCCAAAGCATAAACAGGATAATATTACTTAAGAAAAGCAGACAAGAAACAAGCCAAGCTAAGGATGACTATTTATAAATAAGAATAAGTCTCCGTGTGTGATTGATTTGGGAGCTGGGTGGCAGGCCCCCCAAAAGAGTACAAAGAGGACAACATCATATTACTGCTATTACAACAGGAGGTAGAAATAGAAGAACCACCCAGAAGCTCAGGGGCCAGCTAGCCTGCAGTGCATAACATGGCAGCCACAAAAGAACCTATCTCTAACAAGATAGAAAGCAAGAATCCACTCCGGAAAGCATCCTTTGACTGCTACGCGTGTGCCACAGTACATGCACACCCATGCACACACACAGTGGGGGTGCTAGTCATTTGAATGAGCTGTTCTGCATACAATCAGGAATTTGAAGACTTGAGTCCAATTGGTGGCAACTGTTTGGGAGGCTCAGCAGGTTGGCCTTGTTGAAGGAAGTGTGTAACAGGAGGTGGGCTTTGAGAATCTAAAAGATTTGTGACATGCACAGTTCTCTCTCTCTCTTTCTCTCTCTCTCTCTCTCTCTCTCTCTCCTTCATGAATATAGTTTAAGGCGTGGACCATCACTTGCTACTGTGGGTACTATGCCTGCTGCTGCCATGATTTCCACCTCGATGATAGTGGACTCTTACGTCTCTGGAGCCCTCAGCTCAAACACAACCTTCTCTCTGTAAGTTGCCTTGCTTATGGCACTTCACATAAAAATATTGGCTGTAGGGACTAGGGATATAACTCAGTGGTAGAGCATTTGTCCAGCATTCTTAAAATCCTAGGTTTAATCTCATTACTGAAAAGAAAACAAATACACTCTGCTGAAGCTGGCAGTAAAATAAAAACCTTTCAAAAAGTCATATGGAAACCTAATACTGTAGAAGATGTAGAAGATCTCTCTCTCTCTCTCTCTCTCTCTCTCTCTCTCTCTCTCTCACATGCACACACATACAAATACACACGTACACACTCTATGTGTGCAAGTATGTATGTATTAGATAGATAGATAGATAGATAGATAGATGATAGATAGATAGATAGATAGATAGATAGATAGATAGATATAGAGAAATAGGGAAAGCGAATCACCCCTTTTAGAGTCAATGGTCAGTAAGACCCCATAGACCCGAAACATTGCCTGCCATTCATTACAGGCTATGACCAATGCTATTGGCTACCCTCCAGAACATGGTGATAAGACCCTTTTGCTTAAGACATCATGTACTTGAGTCATACAACATGGAAATATCACACTCTTAGTGACCTGCTAGCTTCATTCTATTGACTAGCTTCAATAATCCTGAAAGTTCATATGCACACCACTATTTAAATAGCCATTAATATTACATAGCTGTCAAGTATGTGGCCTACAATAAAAGATAACTTGGAAAGATAGTGCCCACTGGTGCCGTAGGGACCAAACATCGTTGGAGTAACCAACCAATGCATTCTTACTAGATTTACGTCCACTCCACAGACTGAAACCCATATACCTGGCTTTATTATCAGGCCATTGGAAGAAGGAAAGGAAGCTTTTCTTAAGAGTGTAGTCCCTGGTAAGTTGACCATGTTTCAGTGGAAAGCCACACATATATGAGGAGGAAAAACTGAGTTGATGCTTGTAAGGAAAAAAATAAGATTAAGGATGATACAAAGTTGGGTGAGTAGGGGGGCAAATTTGAGACGAGCTAGGGATGGGTGAATATGATCAGAACACGTTGTAAAAAATTCTCGAAGAACTAATAAATAATTAAAGCAGTGGTGAATAAAAATGGAGGTGTGTAGAAGTTACTGAACATTATAAAAGAAAGAAAGGGGAGTGGAGGATGGGGTTGGGGATTGGTCACAATTAATAACACCCTGTCCCAAGCAAAAAATCATGATCAATTTTGAAAGCCCTATTTCCTATTTTCCCAGACTTCCTTGTACCTGGAATCTGTAAAGTCTAGAGGACAAGACTTTAGAAGGGGGAGGAAAACTCAATGTAAGAGGATAGAAGAAAGAGAATTCTGAGATTTTGTTTTGTCTTTTTCAAACCAGAGTAAGTAGACAAAGAAACAGCAGAAAATGAGGAAACATTCCTAGCAATCAGGATCACAGGCCTGACAACAATAAGCTATTGAACTAATATTCTCTGGACGCAGAGAAAAGGAACCTTTCTTCTGCTATACTTTAACTTCCTTCCCACCTTCTCAAAAAGTACATTAAGCAGAGTGACGCACCCCGTGTGTACCGATGGGAAGTTCAAGAGCTTCTAGAGCTGGGCTCTCTACAAGTTGGTTGACTAATCACCACTGAGGTTTCCTGGACTTGTGGTTCCTTTTGGCAACTGTGCCTGGACCCTGCTTCACTGGAAAGCTATGGTACCATGGAGAGGGAGTCACTGCTGTCACATGGAGCTGTATAGTCCTCTCTTGAAGAATTACTTAAGACTTAGGGGGACACATGGACAATAAAAAGCAACTAGCACTTTTGAGTGTTTACTGCCTGCCGGGACTCTTCCAAGCATGTTACACAGATTGACCCATGTAATATAATCGTCACCTGTATTTGTGCCTTTGCTACCTCCATTTTACAAATGGAGAAAATGAGACGCAGAAAATTTCGTGAAGTTGTGCAAGGTCACACAGCCAACGTGGTGGAGTAGAATTCAGACTCGAACACCAAATCTACAGACTTGGGCTTCACATTCCAGTGTCTCTCTTTCTAAGCATGAAGACAACACACCCAAGTTCAGTGATGTAGGAAGGTGGAATTGATTTGAAAAATTGAGCTCGTAGTCCTTTTGAAATATATGGTCTCGAATTTTCTAAGTCACCTAATTTGTTGAGTTCTCCAAGGTGTCCGGTACATGGAGACAACAGTTAGATGGCTTTAAAAGACAAACAATATTCCAACAGTTCCATGAGAGTTGAGGTGTTCAGCTTTGGAAATTAGGATGAGGAGATTCAAGTCTAGCTAAATGTGGCAATGAGAGCATCTACCCTGGCTGGCAACAGTCTGAGGAAGGAGCAATTGAAGTTGATCTGATTTTACATAACCTGTGGCAACGAAGCAGAGACATAACATTCATGAGATTTTTCTTGTTCTGTTTGAGGTGAATACCAGGGTCAAATCCAATTCTAAAATTTCCTTTTTGGATTGTATATGGGGTACCATATGAATAATTTTATTTTAGAGGAAGAAATGATTTTGCTCTTGTTTCTATTTATTCCTGAAAACCATCACAGTTTTTGTGTCCTTTGCTTACACACCTATCCATTCGCAATACAAAGTTCTGAGTTCACACAATGTGAGAGACACAGTTTAAAATCATATTACCAAAGTGTCATATTTACCTTCTCTTTTTTACTTTTTCTTGGGATTTTAGAAGTAGAAGCTGGAGTTTACACCAGTACATTAATGTATCTTGTATTTGCACATAACCATGCAAAAAAAAAAAAAAACACCCTGCATTGTCTGATGAGTATAAAGGCAGTGGAGGAGAGATAGGTACCTTTCCCAGAGAAGCCTGTTTGGAAGGTAATTAGCATTTGAATTGAGAAATGATTAATGGCCAAGGACAATACAGTATTCAAGGCAGAGGCTCCAAAAAGGGAAGGCTGACGTTAGAGCATTTGATAAATGTCTCAAGGACTCACCCCACTGATTCACTCTTGCCTACTCTTAGACACATACTCCACACCATCACCAGAATGTCACTGCACTCATGGATAAGTAAGTGGTACATGTGTGTTCATAGAAACACCCTCAGGAAGGGCTATAACCATCCAGTCTCCTTTCTGAAACCAAACAAAAAAACAAAAAACCAAAACA